GGTGGAAAAGGTGTGACACCACAGTGGGGCGTTTTGGTGTCACACCTTTTTCACCAGTTTTTTAATCAAAGTCTTTTTGTAAGGGTTACTGACGGTCCTAATCATGAATATGGTACTAATTATTCATGCTAACTCCATTTTGCGCGAATTTTGAAACGTCAACTCGAAATGCAAAAATTTGTCACCACGAGGAATCGAACTAGGGACCCCTTTTCTGGTATTCAGAGGGCCGTTCAGGAAAAAACCATGGTTCTGTGGTTCCCGCATGTGCCCCTATATCATGCAAAAGACCGTTTTGAAAAAGCTTGGCACACCCTGAACGACCTTCCTTGTAAGGACGTTCCTAGACGAAATTAGAAGCTTAGGGGCTACAATTACACTGAAATTGACTTCGCTTCTGCCAGAATGACTTATTCACTCCCCTTTACCTTTTATAAGTGACTAAGTACTGCATGGCGGGATGAACTTTCTCATGGTTTTGCTTACCCAACCACTTACATGACGACACCCAGATGTATTTCGTAGCACTTTCTCTCGGATACAGAGTCGGAGAGGGGTGTATGTCTCTCCCGCCCTTGTCTTCTGAGTTTTGCTTAGGGCACCTCTGATTTGCTCATAGCAAGCCTATCTCTTTAAATCTGAGCCTAATCTCAGAGTTACGCGTAAGCCAGTGTGTTCGTTCTCTAAGCGTATGCTTAGCCTTGAGATTCAATCATCCCGTAGCTCTGAGCACCCGTACTATCAACTGAGCGCCTCCAGGGTTTAAATGCGGCGTGAATCAACAAAACCTTTCACAGAAGGTTTCTGGATTTTCCATAAAATTTTGTTTGGTTGAAAGAGGTAATGGTCAACTTTGGAAATTATAGGCTACAAAGGCGATTAGAAGCCCTGTGAAGCTTTTTATGGATTTGTATAAATGAAGATGAATGAAGAGCGCATGCTGGAAATAAAAATCAGTCCGATAGCTCATGACAATGGGACATTCATTTCTCATCACTTCCTTGGGGATTTATTTGGAGAGATTCCAGAACATTGACCTCTGGTTGGTTAAGCTCAAAAGCTTGAATCTTACTGTAAGCTTGAAGGGTATTCTGACGTTCCGGAGTAGCGCCACAATTAATTCCACCCAGTAGTTGCAGCTAAAAAAAAACTCGGCTATGTTGCTTTCGCTTCAAATGCAACACATGTACTAGGTTCGGCACTATGTATATACCCTTTACTGCCCGCACTCCTCGAAACTGAGCCGGTATTTTTATCGAAATTTTCCATGACTGTGGATTTGGCTAGAAAGTTGTGCGCGGGGGTGTTCGACCCGTAGAACACGAATATCACATTCTTTCTGGGCGAAGACGCTCAAACGTCCTGTGCTATAGGTGCTATTTCCTAAAGCCTTAGAGAAAGCTACAGAGCATGAATATCACATTGGTTTGTTGCGAGCGAACCTGCTAAGGGGGCCGACATAAAACTGATGTGATGTTTGTGCTCTACGAGTTGAAGGACTCCCGGGGACAACTTGCTAAACATATCCATAGCCATGTACAAATCTCGCTTAAAATTCGCTTCAGTTATTAAGGAGGAGCAGAAAAGAGTGAGCAAAACTCTAAGTTTTGGTCACACGGTAGAACGATGGAGCTGAAAAAGTATAAAGATTACCTCGTAGGAATCTTCAAATAACAGCGTTTGTGGTATCTAGATGCATAAAACCCGTAATGAAAGTTGAATTTGTTGCGCTTTTTTTCAAATTCCTCCTATCGGAACAAATTATTCTCATGTGATCGATCAGTGAACGAATTAAACCTCTTTTCATGTCTCTAGAAAGGTTTCTTGGACTTTAGCTTCCGATTCCTGGCCAGCCGAACGCACAGATTTGTTCGGCACCTTCGCCGTTGGTACACTTGGTTCATGTTCATATTCAGTTTAGTATTGTTTACATGCAGTTTCTTCAGTATTGTGACATATTCGTTCTATGACCTCGTATTGGGTTGATCTTGATGCTTATCCCAAATGATTGCTCGAAATTCCTCTATCATTTACAGTAAATATATCGAACAACCAAGCGCTCAACTCCATTTGCACCATTGATGGAAACACCAACTTGCCCTTACCTACATTTTCTCTCACCAATACAACCTGGGTCCGTGGGGGTTGCACAACCAAGAACCTTAAGTAGAAGCCTAAATCAATGGGGTCGAATTGTTGGGAGGATTGGATAAAAACTAAGCGAAAGAGAGTGGGGATGCCCAGAAGACGTTTACCGGTTCCACTTCACCGTTCATTAACCTCAGTGTTCTGGCAACGGTGGCGGCGCAAAGAAAGCGGTGCGCACTTGAGCTGTCTCACTCCCTCGCCGACACCCAATTGTCTTCAATAGATAGCGTTCTGGGATCATTCAAAGTGCCGACGTTTCCGACGGATCCCCTGGTTCACTCAAGAACAATCTTGCTCCGGATGAAAGCAATTATTTTCTGTTTATTTACCTTTTCGGCGAAGGTGGTCCCTCTTAGTCATATTTTGTGCGGTTGCTATGGCTAATGCTCCTCCTTGAGTCGTCCTTTCCTGAAACGTTCCATGTCTCCTCTTATGGTTAGGCATTTTTCCAATGTTGCGTTTAAACTGCTCTTCTCGCAGAAGCGCGTTTCTCATAAATAGCTTCCAGACTTACCTTGACATGGTGTGAAATCAACCGGCCTGATTGGTAGTGTTTCACATCAACTAGACGTAAAAGA